CTTTAATACCCAAGTTTTAAATAAGGTTGGTTGACTCAAAAACAATGTTTCAATGTTGTGGAAATGGAATTTGTAAAGCCCTACAGAAATCGCTCGAACAAGTGGTGCAAAGTGAAATGGAATCTGACGAAAGGCGTCGTTGGTGGCTCGAGCTTGCCGTGAAGAGTGGTATTTGTTGCGAGTGTAACGAAACATTTTAAAACATCAGCTTCTTGCTTTATTCTCCGGACCTGGAGAAAAAGTTCCATAAATGTCTTTCACATGAAAGGTTTCCCGAAAGTTGAGCTGCTTCGTGACCGATTAGGCGCCGATGAAAAACGCTCACACTCTCATGAAAATCCATGAGGTAGTGAATGGTTCTCCACTATTTGTTACCAAAGGTGATGCAACGCTTTTTCTCTATGCATCTTTTTCCACACGAATTCCTACATATACGGATCTAAAAGCGCTTTCTCCGTCTCATGCCTCGGTTTAAAGCCTCGTGTGCTGTAAAGCGAGGGTACAATATTGCGTATTAGACAACTTTACAAATTAGACGCATTGCTCAAAAATAGTGTTCTACAATGAGAGTTAACAGTAACATATTAGACAAGTATACAGTTTATTCGTACTAGAGAAAAAAATAGCATGTTCTGGAAGAAAATTGGGCATTAGGCACATGTACAGTTTATTGAAAAAAATAACTTGGTTATTCAGTCTAGTTTCATGCGACAGTTAGCGGCACCTATGCATCATCTGGCAAATAGCCTCAAAGAAACAAGAGCAAGAGTATCCGAAAAGGAGTAATTGTTAAATGAATAATTTTGTTGATTAGGTTTATTTTTTTACTGTTTATATTTTAATTTGTACCATAAAAAGTATTTTTTTGACACAAAACTGCAGTTTCTACTACACATTCTGCTTTGTCATTTGTTCAAAAAGGTTTTGAATACGGAATTTCGCACAAAAGTTAGCTCAAATATTAATTTTTCTTAAAGTCAAGTAGCTTTTCTCGTCGCTTTTTTGAGTATAATCACGTATTCTCCGTTGCCGCTCAAAGCTCTTGTGTTCATCTTTATTTTCAGAATAGTGTGCTTTTAAGGCCTTCTGTATGTGTTTGTGTCCCTCCTAATAAACTGATTTGATTCAGCTTCCGGTTTTCTCAAAGAGCTGTGATTTTTAGTTTTTTAGAATTATATACGTCCAGGGTGATCTGGCAATTCTTGAAGGTTTTATATTTTCATGGTAGAACAGGAAGAATTGGCATTGCCATATTGTGAAGATTTTAATGCGAGCATCTACGAATAGCTGTCCGCTGATTGCAAGTGCCAGAAAAATTTACTTAGATTTTCTAACTGTTAATTTTCAAGAGAAAACTTTGGAAAAATAACTGTTCTTTT